CAAAGAAAAATGAAATTATGTTATTTGCAGGAAAAATAGATGGAACTGGGGACCATTATGTTAAGTGAGTCAAATTCCTAAGGTTAAGGGTCATATGTTTTCTCATATATGCAGAAACTAGACAGGAAACAGGTAAAGAAAGATGGAGACGGATCTCATGCAAGTCAAAGGGAGATGAGTAGAGGAAAGAAACAAGGAGATAGGAGATGGTGGGGGAAGGGGAAAGTGCTGGGGAGTGATATTGATCAAATTCTATTGTGATATTGTGAATTGTGTGTATGGACCAATACAGCAAATCCCATCAGTATATACAACTATAATGCACCAATAAAAAAAATGTGGGAAAAACAAAACAAAACAAAAACAAAGAGCTTTGTATAAAATCAGTCTTAAAATACTTATTTATATATTGCTTGAGTCATGGTTCTCAACCTTGGCTAGCAACACATGGGGAGCACCTAGGACTTTTGACAAAATACCAATTCCTGAAACTAGCCCCAGCCATTCTGATTTAATGGGTCTGGACCTGGCCTGAGTGTTGTTTCTAATGTGCTGCCAAATTTAAAACCCCTGTTCTAAAGAGAGAGTCTATTTCCTCCTCTGCCTTCATCTAGATCCAAGAAGAGAAGATGATTCTACTTCAACTTTGAGTCCTGGGGGCCAATATCCTAGGGGCCTGCAAAGTTGTAGACCCCCTAAGGCTCCATTCCTAAAGGTTTGAGAAGCAGCTCTAACGTTCAGATTCAGCGTTTCCATGCATACAAACGGCAAAACTGAGATTCTCATTGATCAAACATAGCTGTGCATTATTTAGAGAAAGTCATTTTTACATTTTATTTTTGAAGTATATCCATTGCTGCTTTAACACTCATGTTTTATTTATTTATTTATTTATTTATTTATTTATTTTGAAATTGCCTTGTGGAGGACAGACTTTATAACTAAAATGACTTTTAGAATAGTTAGCAGAAATACTCAAACACACCCCAAGTTGAAGTACTGATTGACATAATATGTTTTAATTTAATCTCCAGTCATAAATGCATGAATTGCTCATTTAATGTGATAAGTATCTATGCAAAAAAATAAAATAAAACCCAAAACACTTTAAGGGGTATTTAGAAATTTGAGGGGGAAAGAGAAAAACTTGGTTAGCTATTATTGTATATCCTAAAAGCCAAGTACAGTTAGAATACATTTTCACATGCCAATTAAGAAAATGAATAGTTCCTAACCTACTATTTCATCACAGATCTCTTTGAAATTTGTTAAGAAGTCACATTCTTTCTCTCCACAAAAGTTTATGCAAGAAATTTTGGCTTAAATTTTAAGAAGGGTCACAGACACCCTGAAGCCAGGAGCCTAGTTTAAG